ACCTTGGCCAAGTTGTATAATAAGCCTTTGGTGTCTCAGCTTCCTCCTCTGTAAAACAATGTTATTAGCAATACCATCCTCATAGAGCCACAGAATAAACACAATGTGCTTAGGATAGCACTTAGGAAGTGTCTTCCTTATGCTTGGGGCCAGAGAGTGCTGGGAGAGCTTCTGCAGCCTGACAAGCTGGTGAGGAAGGGACAAGGAGAGATCAGCTGGAGAGCCCAAAGAGTCTGCCTGGGGTGAGGGAAAGGCTCGCAAAAGAGACATAAAAGCCAGGAATCGTTCGTGAAAGAGTTTCAAGAATTTTCCAGTGATCCCAGATATATGTGAGGATGGGAAGCTAGTAAAAATAAATCTAGACTTCTAATGGAATAGAAATTTCAACTATTGTTATTTTAATTGGTGGCCCTGAAGTTCAGGGAATTTGAGGATATCTGGGTTCCATAAATACTTTTATTTCTAAAAAATAAAAAGTGCTCTACGTACTCACTGTTCCATAACTGCTCTTTTCATGTAATGATAGATAATGAGTATTTGCCATATTATTGTATACTGTTCTAGAGCTTTATTTACAAATATTTAATAAATCCCTTTTTTTTGTTTGTTTGTTTTAGTGTATTTATGGGATGAAGAGATGATTTTGTCTGGAGGTAACAAAATCATCTGTGTTGGAGGAAAAGATAGAAAGTTTGGAATCCCAGAACAAAATCACTGGTGAGATCTTTAAGCTATTTTAAATGGATGGAAATTGGAAGCTCTGGAAGGCTAATCGGAATTGAGAGCTAAAGCTCAGTTCTCCTCTCCCAGTCCTTACTAACAATGAGAAGAGCATGTACTCAGGTACTTTAATTATAAAAGTTACTATTCCATTTTTTTCATTTTCAAACATTTTCAGCATGTTCACCACGTTCTAGACCTTGTGCGTTATCACATTTAATTCTAAAAATTCTGAGGCTGGAATTTTATTATCTACAATTAACAGGCAAGGAAACAAGCCTTAGCAGTGAGGACTAAATCAGGCTCTACTTTGCCTTGCTTTAAGGTAGTATTTGCCTTTCAAAAATTATTCACATTGCTTTCAGAGACTGTAATTCAGAAATTCAAAAACATGTGTATTCTGAAAAGAAAAATATTGGGAAGCACCAGTATGTATAATCTTAACAACAATATGTACACACATGTATATGTGTGTGTGTTTATGACTTTTACTTAATATTTCAATATTTTTGAAAGGCTGCTGAACAAGCCATCAGCATGGATGTATTTCATTCACAATGATTGGGAAACCCTAAAAATCATTCATACCTTCTCCCCATAGGTTTTTGATTGAGCTAAGTTTGATTACATCACATAAGTGTTCTTTAAGCAGAATTGTTAGAATTATCAATATGATTTGTATTCCTCTTCCTTTTATCTTTCTTCTTTTTCTTTCTCTTGCATTTGATGCAACTCTGTTATATATCCAAGATTTAGAAAAACCATTGCTGCTGCATGGTTTTGTCAAGCTGTGGATAACTGGAGGTCTAAGAAGAATGGTGGGTGAAAAGGTTCTGGAACTCAGATTTCCGCAAAGAATGTTACCATGTTGCTAAGCTATGTAGCATATCTTAATAACCAGGGTGCCATAGGCTCCTTGGAGTACGTGTGGGCGAAACTGGAGGGAGACAGCTGTATTCTTTTGGAAGCATTAGACTTCCAAGCATTGGCATTGGCTGTCTCTGCCAATTAAAAATTCTTAGCTTAAGTGCAAAGATTTAAGGAAATCAGTGTCTACACTCATTATGAGGCTGGGAGGGTATCAACAGACTTGAGTTCCTGTCAACCAGATCGCCTCCTTTAAAAACTGTCCTCAGGTATAATTTTAAATTCATCATTAAAATAATATTCTAAAATTTTAGATATGATTTAGTTAATGGTCCTCAAGTTCATCTTCTTTTCAAGACATGTAAAATCTAAATAAATCAGTTTTATGTAAATGGAGTATTATCTTTTAAGTATTGTTGAGGGATTCATACAAATAAAATATGCCAAGTTTGTGGGATAAAGACATTTATTCTGTGGAAAATATTCAGCTTCATTTAACAAGTGTTTATTTAAGCATATACTATGTGGCAAACCGTGTTCTGGATACTGGGTATACAGAGGTGAAAAACTGGGTTGGATCATTGCCTGCTTGATATTACATCCTATTGAGAGAAGCAGAAAATAACAAAGAAATGTTAAAAAAAAAAAGAAAGAAAGAAAAAAAGTCAAGGGGTGATACACATTATGAAGATAGATTAAGGAGGAAAAGGGTTAGAGAGTGCTTGAGGCTGGGATAATGGTGGAAACCACTTTAGAGAGAGGTTAGGAAGCCTTTTGGAGAAAGTGTCCTGTAGACAGAGAAATGAAGTGAGGGAGGAAGCCGTGGGAAGATCTGAGCGGTGTGCATGCTAAGTGAGGGGATCTGCAGATGCAAAATGATTCAGTGGTCATCACCGAAATAATAATCTTTATATCCCTAAGGATTTATGATAACTTTCAGCTGTTCATTAACCAGATATTGTATTCTCCCTTTGTAAGCATACATTTTACATATGTGCTATTTTGGACTAAGAATATTAATATTTAATACAGATTTACATGGTATTTTCTAAGTAACAATGGCCAAAGTTAGAACAAGGTGGATTAATAATGCTTTTAAAATCACCTGTTTTAGTCTAAATAAAACTAATCTAAACACTTTAGTCTAAATAAAATTTTGTAATTTACTAACAGGTAGATAGATTCAAGAGGCTGCAGGAAAGGAAATATTGCTCCCAGAAGTACTTACAAAATTTTCTGAATGGTGAATACCAACTTCAAGTAAATTTTCCCACAGATTTATCTCTATACAGGTTTTTCTTTTCCTCTTCAGAATGAAAGCAGAGTGTTAGAACATCACGATTAAAATAAAAGTATAAATGGAACTCAGCTACCTTCACTCAGAAAATCTCTTGTGTGTATCCTTTAAATCAGGTCTCAGCCTAGATTTTGCAACATTAGTGCAAAATTCAAGATATTTACTAAATATAGTTAAAATGCTCATGTTTGCAAGTTGTTTACTTTTTATCAGCACCGCACTCTCCCGAGTGAGCCACAGGCCGGCCCCCTACAAGTTGTTTACTTTTTAAAAGAAATGAGGTAAAGAAGAGTAAATTCTCTAACACCATCTCTTGCATTTAGTTGCAATGCCATGTGCTTACTTGATTAGTAAGACTGGACTTTGAACGCATGGATACAGCCCTTCTGAGCAACAGTCACTGACACACCACAGTCGAGTCAGTAGTTCTTAGTACTTTGCTTTCCCAAAATCTTAGGATCCATTCTTTAAAATCTGAACGTGTAATGGGAACATTATCTGTCATATCATGGTTAGGAAAACAGGCTCAGAACTGCTTTTCTATATCATATAGCAAATACCCATTAAGTTAAAATACAGAAAACAAGTGTGTGGTTTTTATTGTGTGTGTGTTGTATACCTATTATTTTTTATAAGACTGTATTTGGACCCTGATAAATAACTTATGAAATTTTTGTACAAGTAGCCATAACTTTGTTTTCAGTCTACAGAATTCACCCATGATACACATTGACCATTCTTACATTGAAGGGGATCTCTAATATTGGTTTTAACAAAATTTTTAATCCCTTTATTACAAAATAAATGATATTTGTTATTCTCCAATAAAGATAATATTTATTTATCAAAGTTATTCTCTAATAAAGATAATATTTATCAGTTTACAAATCAAATAATTTATTTCCTGGTCTTCACTTCTATTAATCCCTTATTTTAAAAATATGTTCCTTTCGTATTTCTCTTGCCTTTTGAAAAAAAATCAATCCTTTTGTATGAGGATGAATGATTCTTTCATTATTTCTGTGTTTATAAGTCTTAAAATCTAAACATAGATTGCTCTGGTCTAAAAAGACAGTCAATGGACTAAAAATATCTACCCCAATAAAATCTTGAGATCAGTTTCTAGAATATGAACATGTTTTGACACTGCAAATTATTCTGACCAAAAAAACTCTCTGCCATTGGTAGAAATAAAATGTGTATTTCCCAATTCTGCTATGACGAATAAGGTTTCTATGTAAGATAAGAAATACTCAACAGACACCAGACAACATCCTTCTCAGATTTTAAGAGTAGTATACCATCTTAAGAAAGCTTAAATAACTCTTTCCTATGTTTTTAATCCAGAAATTTTCTTTCCCACATAGTTGTGAATTCACCAAGAGCCATAATTTCATCTTTAATCCCCTAGGCCTGTAACACTAGGTGTATAATAAATGTTTGCTGAATGATTGAAGGAACATTAAATATTACTGAATATTGAAAACAACTACATGACAAAATTTCTCCAGTTTATGATCTGGAGACAGATGTAACATTATTCTTTTGAAGTTTTTTCTCTTTCAGATTTTAGCATTCTTTCAGAAGATGATACAAATTTAAGATGCTGGTTTTCTTTAAGTACAGCAGGATAGGTCCTCATTTAAAGTTAATTTAATGTAAAGCACATTTGTAGGTATTGTATTTTAAAGCCATCATTTTAATTTACTGTACCAAAATTGATAATCATAATGTAATGTATTTTTTTGTTGCTAAGCCAACAAAAGTGACCTTAAACTCAATTAAAAACAGAATATACTACACGTTTTTTCACTAATACTTTGATTTTCCAGGGGAAAATGTTTTGTTTCACCCATGCCTATGCTGTTTTCAGTGCTTACAAAAATTTGGTCTTAAAGCAAAATATCCTGACATTGCTTTGACATGAGAAAGAATTCAGTGCAAACAAAGAAGAAGAAATGTTTGTTGTATAAGAATACATCAAGAAACTCTTGTCAGAACAATTGTCATTCTGTGATTTCAGGGTCTGAGCACATCTGGAAGTAAGGTCAATCAAGTCAGAACCCAGGAACTTCTATGGCAACAGTGGAGAGGGGGAAACCAGCAGTCCATGAGCATGAACCTCAGATCCCCAACATCTGATCTTCAGTTGGAGAGCAAAGGCAGCCATATTACGGCTAGAAATGGAAATTGCTTTCTAGTCAGGCATACCCCTCATCCCAGAAGAGTCTGCCACATCAAAGGTAAGGTAACTTAAGGTCCTAGGATGTGTTTCTCTTCCCAACACTTCGGTGACTTGATGATTCTGGTGGGTAAACATGAGGCCGCTATTCAAACTATTTAACCACTGGTAAGGCAAGGGCATTGACTGTTGGGACCAGATGCCGCCACCTAACCTAGAGCAGAGGCCTGCAGGCCCCCTCTGTGCCAGACATTAACCCTCGGATTGCTTGATTGTTATGACAGGAGCCTTGATTGGGTCAAAGTGGCCAGGGCAGTGGGGGCCACTCAGGGAGTTCAGGGCAGCATTGAGCAATTGTTGTTAAAGTATTTCAGTATTTTAACAACCTGTAAAGACATGCCAGCATCTGCATGCTAAATATTGGCCCTGGAAAAGCAGGTATTTTACACCTTCCCTCCCTCCCTTCATCCCTTCCTTCCTTCTACTTCAACTTTATATGATAGACTTCTTGGAAATTAGACATTAATGACAGGATCTCCCTTCTGAGAGAGGCAGTTCAACTTAGCTTGGATTGAAGAATAAAAATGGTATACAGTTTTTACACATACCTTGGGTTCTAGAGAAAAGAACAAAGAGAAGAGGGAAAAGTACTGATTTTTTCAGGAGGAAGATTTCTCAAGGTTATGAAGAATATGGAAACAAGCAGAACTGTTTGGACTTGATAGAGTGAACCAGTCAATTTGCAGAGGATGGGGTAACTGCGTGATACCCCCCAAAAGAGCATAACAGCATCAGGTGTTGGGCTTAATCAAAAAAGACCCTTGCACTCATCCCTGAGATTCTTATTCCTGAGAGTGGCATCACCTCCTAAATAAGAAGCATTGCCAAGGTGAGCCCCCAGCAGATGGAAATGTATCACATTCCCGAGGTGACAGCAAAAGTGAGATTAAAGACCACTGTCATGATAAAAATGAGCCATCCTTTGTTGGAAAAGGGCAGAGCCTGGAGATAAAGGAGAGAATTAGGAGGCTGCTGCACCTGTCCAGACATGTGAGGACAAGCATCGCTGCTACACTGCTGGCAGCAGGACTGAGCAATGGCAGGATACGAGGCTGGAGAGAGTGTGTAGGGAAATATGAAAAGGTCCTGGTAACTGATTAATATAGAGAAGAAGAGGAACAAGTCCAAGAAGAACATGCGCTTCACCCCTTTGCCTACCCTTAGTTATCATGACTAAAACGTGTTGCTTTTATGAAACAGGAAAGCTGAGAGGGAGAAGGTAAAGTTGTTTCATTCAGCAGGTATTTATTCAATCTCTAGTACTAGAGGTTCTTCAAAGAGTTTGTGGAAAAATGGAATTAAAGATAATACGAATCTTTCCATAAACTCTTTTACTCAACCCTTGTTCTAGACAAGGAACATTGAAGAAAAAGTGTCCCTACCTTCATGGAGCTCACATTCTAGTCAGACCATAAAATCAGTTCTTTGGTATCCATTGTGCACGTGAGGTAACACCGGGCATCGAAACAGAAATGGCCTGCCCACGAGTGGAAATCGGGGTCTGGATCTCAAATGGGAAGTCAGAAATATAGGTGTACATTTGGGAGTCATCAATGTAGAAGAGATATTTAAAGGCAAGAACATCTATCATTTCTTTATCCATTCAGTCATCTATCAATTCCTTCATTTATTCATTCATTAATTCATTCAACAAACATTTATTTAGAGTAAAAATATAGGCAAAAGCCTGGCCTCAGGAGCTGGACTGGCTGGCTGGTCAGCCTAGTCTGTAAAATGGCAATAATAACAGTAATATGTACATAACGGTTAAGCATAGGAACAAGGGAGTGAAGTGAATAGTGACTGTCCACACAGACAGAGCATTAGGAAACTGAGTAGAAGATCAACATGCCTGTTACGAAGCATGTGGGGAGGAGAGAAGGGATAATGGGAAATGGGGATGGAGAAGTGGATGAGACGCCAGATTTAGAAAGGCTCTGTATATCATGCTAAGGGATATTCTTCACAAGCAAAAGAGATGTCTGCACTCATAGTTTTCACTTCCTTACCTCTAAGTCACTCTTCAACCCACTGCAGTCTGGCCTGATCACCCACCATTCCGAAAACTGTGCTTGCTGAGTTTACCACTGTCCTTCCTGTGACAAATCCAGTGAGCATAACCATAAGGATACTTGTGGCTGTAAGTAGCAGAAAGACAAATCAAACTGGTTTGTATAACAAAGGGGATCTATCGGCTCAAGTAACTGGGAAGTCCTGCAGTGAGGTGGACTTCAGGTTTGGTTTGATTTGATGGCCCCTAGTGTCATGAACAACCTACTTTCTTTTATCTCTCCACTCTGCTTTCCACAGTTTCAGCATCAACTTAGAGGTGGCTTGCTTCTTTCATTGTGGCAACGTGTCTACGTCAGTTCTTAGCTGCACATCTGCACGCCATGCTGGCTTCTTAACCAACAGATTCCAGCAAAACTCTCCTTTCGCTTTATCAGCACACGTCAGGTCACGTGCCATCCCTAGATAAATTTCTGTGGACAGTGAAATGGCATGCATAGATTAGCAGGCCATGGTTCAGATAACCAATCACTGTGGCAAGGGAGATGGGTTCAATCTTCTGAAGGGCACACGGCTTCGTGGGCTGTGGGGGTAGGTGAAGGGAGGATAATGGAACAAAATATCTGGGTACTGTTAGTAAAGGAGAGAAAGAAATGGATACTGGGCAGAACTGACAGATATCTACTACAGACACTGTTTCATCCTCATCTTGAATTCTTAGTAGCATTTGACACAGCTAGACAGCCCTTCCTTCCTCCTGCCTTCCCTCCCTCCCTCTCTCTCTCACACTCTTATTTAGCTTCTGTAACACCATATGTTCAGTTTTTTCTCTACTCTGTGGCTTCTCCTTTCTAGCTTTATTTTCTGGTTCTGCAGTAATGTTGGAGTCCCTGATAGCTCAATCCTTGGCTGTTTTCTCTTTTTAATCTGTACTGGGACCTTAGGCAAACATACTCATTCACACGTTTCAAATACCATCCAAATAGGCCAGATATTTTCAAATATGTATCTGGACTCAGACTCCTCTTCTGAAGTTTAGACCTATGTATTCAACAGCCTATTTGTGAGGCACAGAATACCTCATGGGCATCTCGAACTTTGCTCTTCAAAACTGAACTCTTGATCTTCCTACAAAAGTGTGGTCCCCCAACTAGTCTACCCATGCAAATAAACAATACTGTAAATCTGGGGTGCTTCTTTAACACCCCTCCTCTTTCCCTTCCCTTTGCAATACTTCACTTGATCTTGTCATTTTTTCTTCTAAATATTTTGTAAATGAAGCCATTTTTTGCCATGGCCACTGTCACAACTCCATTCTAGGCACCTATTATCTCCTGCTCTGACCACTACTTTTATCATTTGTAGTCCTAGCTGGCTCTACTTCCACTCTAGCTCATTCAACCCATTCTCCAGGGAACAACCACAAAGGTCATATTAAAATGTAAATTTGACTGTTTAAATTTCCTATTCAAACTCCTTCAGAGTTTTCCCATGCATACAGGATAATGTTGTTTACCCTGACATAGGCTAAAATGTTCCTTGTGATGTGGCCTCTGCCTCTCTTATGACTCATCTCTTATCACCCCACCCCACCCTTCACTTTCCATATGCCACTCTGGACTTCTCTATGTTCCTTGAACATGTAACAAGCCCTTCCCAGCTCTGGATTTTCCACACGTACTCTATCCTCTAGCCATAAAACTCCTCCGTTATTTTCTGTTCTCATTTTTCAGGTATGAGTTTAAACATCACTTCAAAGAGAATTTCTGGGCTCCACATCCTCAATCTAAATTAGATTTCCTTATGGCATTTTCTCAAAGTACCTTGTATTTTCCTTCAGAGCAATTGTCTTAGAATAGGTTCTGTATTAGCGTGTTTCTGTTGTTTGTAATGCAATATTTGGAACTGGGTTATTTATAAGAAAATGAAATTTATTGCTTACAGTTTCTGAGGCTGGGAAGTCCAAAGTCCAGGGAGAGGGTCTTCTTTGGTGGTGGCTTTACAGCAACGTGGGGGTCTCACATGGCAGAAAATGGTGTAGCAGAGAGAGAGATAGTTCTTCACCCAATCTCCTTTTAAAGCCCTCAGAACCATACCGACTATTCCAAGAATGGATCAATTCATTCACAGCCATGCAACTGACCATCATTATTAATCCGTTCACTAGGGCATGGTTCTACAATCTAATCATCTCCCCAAGGCCCTACCTTTCAATTACTATAATAGGATTTCCCACTTTCTCAATACTGTGACAGTAGGGACTAAGATTTGAGGGACATCGATCCACAGCAGGTTCTCTAGAAATAGACTCTGAGAGGGAGATTTGTGTGAAAGAGCTTTATTGGGGAGTTTCAGTGGAAACTCACTGAAACTAGATTTGTGTCCCCCCAACTTTTACGTATTAGAAATGTAGCCCCCACTGTGACTGTTAAGAGGGTGGGAAATGCTATTATGGTAATTGAAAGGTGAAGTCTTGAAGAGGTAATTGGATTGTAGGACTGTGCAGTAGTGAATGGATTAATAATGGTGGTTGGGGAGTGGTTCTGAGGGCTTTAAAAGAGAGTGAACAAGGAGGTTAGTCTCTGTTCTCTCTGCTCCACCATTTCACAATGTGATACCCTGCCATCACTGAAGTCACAACCTAAGAAAGCCTTCACCAGATGTGTTCCCTGGACTTTGGACTTCCTAGCCTCTGAAACTGTAAGCAATAAATTTCATTTTCTTTATACATCACCCAGTTTCAAGTACTTTGTTATAAGCAACATAAACGGACTAATACAGGAGTGCTTTGGGAACAACACCCATAAGGAAATGAGGGAAGCAGCATTGGGCAGAAATTGAACTGCCTTGCAGATGCCCCAGAGGCTTCAGCCAATCCCATGAGGAGCAATAGAGCTGGGATGGCCCCTCAACAGTGTCTCAATTCCAGGCAAAGGGGCAGGCCTTTGTAACTCCCATCACTCACTGATTGTGCTCTCATTGCGCCAAGAG